ACGTTTAGTTAGCGACTCTGATTGTTCTTATGGAGACCTCATGCTTTTCCGTTTTCTTTCCCTGGCTCACACAGCTGAGTCTTACATCGTCTCCCCTTGCAGCCACACTCTCCCAGGCCATGAGGCCTCCACTAATGCTGCTACCCGGAACGCTTCTTCCCGCTGACTTCTTCCAGCATGCTTTTACCTCTACAAATACATGCCAAAATATAATTATTATTGAATGTGTCCACATTTCTACTACTAAGCTGTGAGATCTTAGCGGAAAAAGCTCTGAGTTTTATTCCTCTTTCCTTCTACTGCAATACCTAATATAGCGCTCAGGATATAGTCAGCAACTCCAATAGCTCTTGACAAAATGCAGAAGAATAAAGAACGTGAATCCCAAAGAGATAAGTAATCCGGTATTGTTAGTATGGGACTACTCAAAGTCTAATCAGATTCAAACACCTACTGGATGCTTTCTCACTGAAACCTAGAGTTTTGAAGACAATTGTACTGTATACTGATGGTCTAGCACACTGCCAAAAGCTCAAAATCAACTTATCTCAAAACTGAAGTTAAGGTCATTTAAAAAGTAAGAACAAAAATGTTTAGTTCCATTGGATAAAATGTAGTATCTCTGGGGGGGCAGGGACGGGCAATTACACACATGTTGAACAGAGGAGCACATCCTCTTAATAAAATAGAGTAAACTGGTATTCTACAAAACGGTCATCTTCACTGCCAACTTCATTCGACTGTACTGTTCATTTTAAAAGAATATTAGTATTAACAGGGCTCGTCCAAAACCAGGCAGAGTATACTGCTCTATGGAAGGAAGAAAAGAAAAGCTGTATGAAACCTTCAGGAAATAAATAAAACCATGTTTTTAATGTGGATGGAGGTATTTTCCTAATGGTTCTTTAGAAATTTTAATCTGTCTTACATTCAGACTCAAAGACAGTTAATATGCTTTATAATTTTATTATAATACTAGCTTCTCTATTAATAAGAGCTCTTACAAGTTATAGATGATTGATTTCCATGAAAGAACTGTGAACATTTATATAATCTTTTCCCATTTAAGGATATTTCCATTTTTGTATCTACTCCAGTTAGGAAAACCTTCATTAAAAGCATTATTTATAGTATGATTCTTAGTAGGAAGTCACAGTTCTTAGTGTGGCACTGGTTTCTTCATTCACTCACTCACATGCAATACTTGAGACTTAACAGGAAGTAGGATGTGTGCTAAAATTGGGGCGTACTGAAGAATAACAACAACAAAAACCCAAATCTCTAGTGTTCTTGCAAAAGCTGGATGGGAAGCTGAGATGACAGGGGTAGATTATAAAACAATTAAAATTCAGGCTTCCTTAACAATTCAGTAGTCTGAAACTGGTCATTACTTTCCAACTATACTGTCTGTTGGTACAGTAAGAATACATGATATAAAACAGGGAAAAACTATATTTTGATACCTAAAGGATTTGTTTAAAAATGGTTTAAGAAAATAATAGGTAGATTATATCCAAATATAATCATCACTAATCATCACTAATCAACGTGCTGTTGGCTGTTGGTAACATCCTACACTAGAAAGAAAGACTGTTGAGTGGGATGGAGCTCAATCACTTGAATTGATGGCATGATAGTAAAAAGATCACTTCAACTCCTGTTTTTTTCCAGGTCTGTAATGTGACATGAAAACTTGAAACCCTACTCTGACAGCATTTCCCCAACAATTATACTAACTGGTACTTTATTAATTGTAATGCAATAAAAGGAGCTTGACAAAGAGCTAGAAGTCTTGAATTCAAGCTCTGCCATTCACCTCCATGTCTTTACTACCATTTCCATTTACAACTTCTTAGAGTCTCAGTTTTCTAACCTACATGGCCTCCTATGTCTCACCTACTTCACTGAGTTATTCTGAGGCCATAATATCCATGGAAATGCTAACTAAAGTTCTCCCTTAGAACAACCCACCTTTAGATTTCATGAGGAAAAGAAAATGGGGCAAAAATAGTAAACTTCCCTATACTGTCTAATTTGGGAGGAAGAAAAATAACCCATTTCCTTTGAGTAAACTTAATAGGACCATGGCCAAGTAACTTATCTTCTCTGAAACTCAGTCTCTATAATATCTGTTGGTTTTGTTGTGAGTGGAAGCAACAGTATAACATAAAAATATTCTGAAAGACTGGAAAACATTAATGAGGGACAATAACAAAGTCAGTACAACAAAACTATTTGTTATCCAAATCCCGCTCAAGTTTCTTTTGAACTACTGAGACACTATGCAGAATATTTATATCACACTCTAAAATTAATTATCCCGCAAAAAAGGAACCCAACAGCATTCCGTAAGCTTGAATATTATTAAAGTATATGTTACTGAAATCACATGGCTTATGTGTCCCATGCTATTAGCTATACATTTTTATAGAAAGAAAAACAATTTAAAACCAAGTATTGATCTAGTGAAAGTAATAGTACATACATAGTACTTTCCACT